TTGCTTGAGGTCACTAAATATTGAACTAGTGTAAAGCTAGTGTGAAACATACGAGAGAGGGGAGAATCAGCTCGGGTATGCAAACTGGATCAGTTATTCGAAGTCAACCAGAAATTTTGGCGGATATTTGTGTTTTATTTTATTACCGTCTATTGTGTGTACAACGATATCATTTCCTGAATGGGGTAAGCGACTAACCAGAGGATTGTCATACAACAAACGGGGGAAACTCAGGTGTTGTGACAAGGTCCTAATACCTCCTCCCGGGGTGAGTCTCAATATACTGGGGGAGGGGGGATGCGCGCAGTGGTTTAGTCACTGTCACCGGCGTGCTTTGGACCCTGTTGTCTGAGGTTCGAGCCCGGCCACCGCCACCCGACTTTGGTGGTAGGTAGCTTTGCTGTCGTCCGGTTCAATACCACACCTAACCTATCGGGGCCGTATGTGGTTCACCACTCCAAGTCCCGGGCCTCAGGTTGCCCGTTTCCAACACTGAACAGTAGGTTTTCATAACTATGGAGTTCTCCCCGTCTGCTGTTCATCACACTTGGGTTAGGCTCATGAAAATTGCGGAATGCAACATAAAAATTAGGTGACTGAATGTGTGCTTGGTCGAATGACAGTATACTGTGACTGATTTCATAATTATCCAAGTATACACCGTCAGTTCGCTTCACCTGAACTCAAAACTTGAATATAATCAAACAGATTTGCTTTTCGTAGTCCATATGACAATTTTTTTCGATGATTATTTCTAGTTTAGTACATTATTTTCTTGCTATTCACTCTTTCTCTCTCTCACACATACACACACACGGCACAAGTACTTCTGGTTCCCGCGAACAGTGTGGTTACCAGTGAGTTTTCATTTCATGCATTTTATACTGCCATTATGCAAATTTGGTTGCAAGCTGACGGTTTGTCTCAATTATTTAGTCGTTTTTAATAAAAACCGACAAGAATGTGTACCCGCACACAACAGAACTATGCAATATAAACAACCGGACGCATTCGACAAGTGGGCAACGCTTCGTTATTTTCAATGAAACTGACCTGATCCAATGCAGCAGTGATTGATGCCTCGGTGCTCTTATCCACAACTATATCAATCAATTTCTCAATGACCAGCTCACACAATGGACACAGTCCGGGGGCTTGAACATTCGATTGCAGTAAGGATTGTGTACGAATCGGTAGAGCCTTGGGACCGCACATTCGGAACACGGCGCACACTTTCTGTGAGTCGACTTTTTCGATCTCTCGAACCATGTTGTCAAACTGGCTATCGATCGCTCGGATACACTAAGTTGATGACGGAACACAAAAGCAGGAAATTGGCGGTTAAGAAAAACAGAATTATCGCCAACAGTTTAAACGTGGCAAAAAGGGGATAATATCTTGTGGCTTGGAATGGAACCGTGTATGCATTGTGGAATGGGACGGAGAATAGTAAGTTTAAAAAGGGTCCATTAAATCAACCAGGGAGCCTTATGAGGTTCGCCACTCCAAGTTCTGTGGCTTAGGTTACCGGGTTCCACCATTTAACAGCAGTTCCTCAGGACTATGGGGCTCAACCCGTCTGCCGTTCATCACACTTAGGTGTGTCATAAAAAACCGCTGCTCGTTTGATCATTTACCATAATCCCGTACATTTCACCTTGGTGCACAAACAGCAGTATTTGTAAAAACGTGTTTCAACATACACCAGCTGAGTGTATGTCAAAGTACTCCAAATAGCGATTGGGTCGATCAGTTTGAACTGATGGGATGAGACTCAATCGGGTTGAAACAGCTGTCCCATGCCTCCTAGATTTTCAGTTCACATTTCAATTGCTCTGTATGCACAACGAAATTCACCTCGAGATCAGCCCAAGTCCTCCATTTCCTTCATGAGTTTATTGTCTTCCTGACTTAGGGGAACAGGCTAATTAATGCTTCATACTGGATAGGTTATCTTAAAAGGTTCGTCTTCATTCTGGTTCCAGTTCGAACCGTATGACAAACAGACCATGAAACATGTGTCTTCGTAGTGATGAAATTAGTCCATGTTTTGTTTGCGATCGCACTGCTGCCCGGTTGCTCAAATCCTAGAGATTCAAGGGCATCACGTAGTAAACCATCTTCCAGCACATACATTCGTTCTGCATATCACCAACCGCTTACTCCTATAAGTTGCGATCAAAACTTAATGTGCAGATTTTTCATACGATTAAATATGGAAATTTTATCGAACGGATAAATCGGAGCAGCCAACATTTTCGATGCCTCACAGTGTGTTGAAAACAGAGCAAGGCGGAGAAAGGTGTAGGTTATTTCACTTATAATGAAACGCCTCGAGCGGTTACATCATACCAGGCAGGGTTCTGACGCAACGAATGACCTGAAATATTTGTTGCCATCTTCCATGAACATCTGAGGAACTGGTTAAACCTTCCAGATCACGGTTAAGTCGGAGGTGAAATGCTCAGTTCAGTTATAGGACCACAACTAGATCAACATTTGCACCGATTATGCCATCAACCGTCGTGCATGGAAAGCTGCTATTAGATATCGCCATGTCGATTCATCATCTGGCAGACGATAATCATGAAAAAAACAGGCCCAACTTTACCAGTACTGGTGTTCTCCTCATCGTACAATCATATTTACCAGTAACTTTCAATCAAAGAGCTTTCTTGATTAATAATCATACGACTTGTCATCATGGTGATGATTACCGATGGATTATCATGATTATTACTTTCATCATAGATTAAAATACATTGAAGGAAAATCTGCTGTTTGCTCTCTTTCAAGTAACAGGTAACAATGTGTGTAAGAGACCACTTACCACTTCACGCATAAATCCTAAAGTGTTACATATTTCCCGCTTTATATCCTCTTTGATCTCCCTCTGCATCTCGGGATCTTTGATTCTCTCTTTCATTTGATCAACCACAGCTACACAACTTGCACAATCTGGAGTAGCAGTGCCGCTGTGGACAAAGGGAACCGGTCCGTAAGAAGTGAACATGAATGTGTTTCGTCCGGATGGTCGGTTGATCCACGAGTAAGTTGTTTGTCCGGAACATAGTTTCAGATTGCTTGGTGAAACTAACTGATTGGGAGTAGAAAATTTGGAGTCCTAACAAAGGGGGAAAACGATGTGCAGCATTGGTAAATGTATGATAATTTCAACTAAGACAATACAGAACAGCCAAACTTTTCTTCAGTTACCTATGAAGGCATGTAGGGAATTTAAAACACAGACAGAGATTAGTATTTTCCAGACAGTGGGTACCTTCCTGTGTGATTTTCATCTCAGCTGCCCCGGTGTCACCTACGGTGGAGAGAGAATAGTGTCACCGTTTCAGTAGTTTCTTGTCCAGTTTGTGTTTGGACCTCCTCCTCCCCCCCCCCATCGCTTTAGCGGGTAACAATCTCCACTATTTAGTCACTAGATGTGCGGTGCATCTCTTAACTCTAGCCTCTTGCGCGCAGCGAGGGGATCACTGAGACGAGTGCGTCCTCCTAGAGGGAACTCCATTCGTAGCATGGTTTCTCCAGTGCCAAACGAATTCTTTCATTTTTTCATTACACGCATTTCGCGTGATGAACAGCAGAGGGCGAGGGGAACCCATAATAACGACGTGATGGAAACCGGAAAATCAAATCCCGGAAATTGGAATGATGAACCAAATAAGGCCCATTAAAATCTGATCGTTATAACAAACTCCTCCGAATCCCTAAATAGCCTAAGTGTTTGTTCGCCACATCCTTTCCAGCCTCATGAAATCCCAAGGTTTTCATGGGTATATAAAAGCTTCACACATTTCCAGGTGCGGATTTACGTCCTTGGTGTATAGTAGCCTGAAGATATCGTAATTTGATCTGCTGGGTGGGCTGAATTGCACAGAGGATGTCCCAGGTTGAAGGACGAGCTATGTTATTCCGGTTAAGTTTTTCATGTCAAGGTCACCCTAACTTAGGTCTCATTCACAGGTTGTTCTTCTGGGGGTCCATCCTGGACATAAATGCGTATTATTTATTTCAACACGTAACCAATTACACAGAACTGGCAAATGCGTATTATCTGTCTCCCTCCCCCCCTCTCTCTATCCAAATGCATACGGATAGTGTTAAGAACTCGCAGCTAGTGCCCTTAAATCAGACCATCGAAGTCTTCGTGCATCTGCCTCCGCTTTTTGTTTTCGTGGCCTGCTCATGAAAGCATCTGATGATCCACGTAGACCAAATACGGAGAATTCAACATCTGCGGGATGTCATCGTTGTACATCAACAATAACCGGGGCTATAAGACCGAGACATGCTAACTACTCGCCGTGGTGAGAGCTAGTTGGCGGCGACTTTAAACGCAAATGGACTACGCTTCACGAGGTTTTCAATTCACTGAGCAGATGACTCCGTAATAATCCTAATATTTTTAGTTAAAATTCACGTAGATTGCATACTTATAATGGCTTAACATTCACGAAAGCGACCATTAGTCCAGTAGGAGACTGAACAGACAAATCTCTTCCTGAAACCTTGTTTTTGGTTACTGAACAGAATACGTTTTCCAATGTGATCTCTTAGTTGTCCTGAAGGTAACGGTGATACGATACTTCCGGTCACTTAAGTAACACTAACCACCATTGCTCTCTTTACTATTCTTATAATCGCGTTGATAATTCTGGTCAAAGAGGTGTCATAATACTGATCGTTGCGTTCAAAAGTACACCAGCACTCCTTTTACACATATATCTTATCACCCATCATCTGTATTCGGTTAACTCAAAAAGGTATAAAGCCAAGAAGGGGGCAAAGAAGTCTCGACTCTCCTTAAAAACCAGATTTTCGTTAACAGAGACCGGCCTCCTGGTTGACATGAAGACTTCAAGTGTGTCCTGAATGCGCATTAGCCCACGTACAATGAACAGTATAACATCTAATCCTGCCCTTTCGACTCTCCCTCCAGTTCACAACATCCTTATCTTTAAACGCAGAATCAACAAGCTGGTTCTAGGTTGAATATTTCCTTCACCATCACCTGTGTCCTAGAATTAGTGGATTTCATTGTATTCAACTTCAGGGTGTGGTGACGAACAACAATAAATAGATAGTGAATACATTCAATATTGTTTTTAGTACTTATATAGAAAACTGGTGCATCTACATACATTACCTGATTCTTGGCAGGTTCGCAACGAAAGTTTACTCTGCATATGTAGTTGGTAAATACACAATGGCCACATTAGTTTCGAATCGTATTTTAATTATTGAAATGATACAGTCGGATGGGGTTAAATAAATAAACATGTGTTACCAGGTTGACATTTTGTAAATAGCAATCAACTGTGAAAGATGTCTATCAGCTCTCAGGTAAAAATAAATAATTATTTTCATTATCGTAAAGTAAAATTCAATAAAAACGAACTTCACTAATGGCTGCCAAACTACTAATGCATACGAATTTCGTGAGAATATATGAAGTGGATAGAGATGGAGCCTCTGTCCAAAGGGAGAAAATAAAGTGAACCTACTACGGTCAAAACACAGAGTTCATACATACTTTTTCAAGTATTCTGGCATGAGAGGAAGTGTCAAAAAGAAGGCTACTACAGTCGGTTCACTATCGTTGCCTTCAGTGTTTCCAACCAACTAGTTAGTCATTTTGATCACAACCTGGAGGACAAGGGAGACATCTAAGCTACTTAAGAGGCCTGTGCTTTTCTTCATATTTCACCTACGTGTCGTCTGTGGATCTCCACATGGTTTTGTCCAGTCAGACACAAATGATTTCATCGATCACCAGATTGCTCAACTTTCCTCACATGTATGCTCTAAGAAGAAAATGAAGAACGACCGAATGTAGTACGTCTCTGCTGAACATCAGTGAAGTTTTCGAAAGATTACTTAGTCTACCTTAGACGAGTATTCCATCAGATGTGTGACATTCATTGGTTGACGTGGATCAAGGCGTTCATAACCAAAAGAGAAACTTTGTGATGATTTAAGCTTAATACTCCCCTTAAGTTAAAAGAGAGACTGAGATCACCGGTGGGCGATGTGAAAGTTGATTACCAAGAGAGGTCGGGATTCGACATTATTTTTGCATATTTATTTCTTTGTACAGCGTAGAATAGCGTGTTACAGAGATAAAATTTTGCGTTTGGATTTTCAAAAACGTTAGGATTTTAGCAACTAAAATGATGACTTGAAATAATCGAGTTCGTGAACTACTTCAGACTGCAGGTGGTTAAAACGCAGAATTAAATAAAATGTATTGTTTTGTTCATGAAATTTTCAAGTTTGTGACACCGCTATAAAAACTGAATCAGCAATCAGAATAAAAGAACGTCAACTAGACTCACATACTTGAAAACAAATCGTCAACTTAACTTAGAACTTCAAGAGTTCAGGATTAACATTGAATTCCCGGTAGTTGTAAGGCTAATCTACTTACAAGGTATATTCTGAGGTATTATCACTACCAATCCTGTGCAAGTCACACATGAAACGAAGTTCTGAGTAAAGCTTGAAAAATATTCGTGACTGCTTTCAGTACCGAACCGTTGTGTAGGGCTATTACTATGATAATCAAACGTTATTCATTGGAAGCTAAGCAAACTGAAGTTGTAGAGGTCAGTCTTACACCTAACCACAGATATCTTGAGTAACGAGTAAAACGTTTATCACATTAAATTTATTGATAAATGAGAGGGCTTACACCAGAGTACAAAAGTACTTATTAGTAGGCGTCAGCAGGCAAATCACTACTCTGTTTACCATCAGTGGCACGGAAGATGATAAATGTTGAACAATTACAACACAGTTGATAAATGAGTGGAACATTTGAAAAACTTCAGAACAGAAATAATTGTGACTTACCAAAAACTGGCTAAGACTGACCGCAGAATAGGGAGATTGAGGGCAAAGTCTCAAGAGTGCACATATATCATCTGGGCTCTGAAGATCAGATCATTAAGTTCAGGAAACATTGAAGGCTTACCAAATGAACTTCAATTAACTGCAATATAACTGGAACATGAACTTTCACTGTTTGTTTGCAATAATCACGAATATGATCGTTCAAATTGTCACAAATGGCACTGTCCAAATATGTAATAATAGCATCCGCTGTAGCATTGTCGGCAACAAAACTTTGAACAGTTTTGACCAGTTGTTTGCAATCATCACATATGATTGAATTAAAATCAAGACCCTGTTAAAATAAGGAACAATTTTGGACCTACTCCGATATACACATCAGTTTCACAGGCGGTTAAAGTATTGCACAGAATGTCTACATCGCGCTGTTTCGCTATCTAAACAAATAAAATCTGTTTAATTTATTTTACTCTATGATCAAAAGAAAATCCGAGTATTGAAGGGAGTTGAGCTATGGCACGTTTGCACTAAACAAAATAATCAAATAATTTAACTCAAACCTGATCAGGGTGCGGTAATTGCAGATCCATGCAAAGCCCCTCCAATTGGGACAAAGGCCGGTTTCGAGCAAGTATCCTGCAGACTGTGCATTTCGATGATGTATCGTTGCGATATTTCTCCCAGAGTGAAGATCTCCAAATTTTTGCGCATTCATTTAATACGCCACATCTTTCGGCAGTAAAAACGTCTTTGCAAGTTATTCGATTGACTCCTCCACAGTTACTCGCCTCAATTACATTTTGGGCTGTTATGCAATTAATTTCAAGCTAAAATTCCAACTTACATAAAACTAACGAAAACAAACAAGCGACGAACACGGTAAACATATTGCCGCGGAATGTTATTCGACTGAGTTTATCTCAAGGTTAGATCAACTAGATGTTTAAACAAAAATCAGGACAGGACAGATCACAGGACTTGCGGCGGAGCCAGAAGCAGTCCAGTTTCTTGCAC